TAGGCGCCCCTAGAGATAGGCGCCCATAGAGATATGCGCCCCTAGAGATAACCGCCCCTAGAGATAGGCACCCCTAGAGATGGCGCCCCTAGAGATAGGCGCCCCTGGAGATAGGCGCCACTAGAGATAGGTGCCCCTTGAGGTAGGCGCCCCTAGAGATGGGCGCCCATAGAGATAGGCGCCTCTGGAGATTGGCGCCCCTAGAGATAGGCGCCCCTAGAGATAGACGCCCATAGAGATAGGCGCTCCTAGAGATAGGCGCCCATAGAGATATGCGCCCATAGAGATAGGCGCCCCTAGAGATAGGCGCACATAAAGATAGGCGCCCATAGAGATTGGCGCCCAAAGAGATAGGTGCCTCTAGAGATTGGCGCCCCTAAAGAGAGGCGCCCATAGAGATAGACGCACATAGAGATAAGCGCCCCTAGAGATAGGCGCCTATAGAGATAGGCGCCCCTAGAGATAGGCGCCCATAGAGATAGGCGCCCAAAGAGATAGGCGCCCAAAGAGGTAGGCGCCCATGGAGATAGGCGCCCATAGAGATAGGCGCCCATAGAGATAGGCGCCCCTAGAGATAGGCGCCCATAGAGATATGCGCCCCATAGAGATAGGCGCCCATAGAGATAGGCGCCCCTAGAGATAGGCGCCCATAGAGATATGCGCCCCTAGAGATAGGCGCCCCTAGAGATAGGCGCCCAAAGAGATAGGCGCCCATAGAGATAGGCGCCCCTAGAGATAGCCGCCCCTAGAGATAGGCACCCCTAGAGATAGGCGCCCCTAGAGATAGGCGCCCCGGGAGATAGGCGGCCCTAGAGGTAGGTGCCCCTAGAGATAGGCACCTCTAGAGATTGGCGCCCCTAAAGAGAGGCGCCCATAGAGATAGGCGCACATAGAGATAGGCGCCCCTAGAGATAGGCGCCCATAGAGATAGGCGCCCAAAGAGATAGGCACCCATAGAGATAGGCGCCCATAGAGATAGGCGCCCATAGAGATAGGCGCCCATAGAGATAGGCGCCACTAGAGATAGGCGCCACTAGAGATAGGCACCCCTAGAGATAGGCGCCACTAAAGATAGGCGCCCATAGAGATAGGCGCCCATAGAGATAGGCACCCCTAGAGATAGGCGCCAATAGAGATAGGCGCCCAAAGAGATAGGCGCCCATAGAGGTAGGCGCCCATAGAGATAGGCGCCCATAGAGATAGGCGCCCATAGAGATAGGCGCCCATAGAGATAGGCGCCCCTAGAGATAGGGGCCCCTAGCGATAGGCGCCCATAGAGATAGGCGCCCAAAGAGATAGGCACCCATAGAGATAGGCGCCCATAGAGATAGGCGCCCATAGAGATAGGCGCCCATAGAGATTGGCGCCCATAGAGATAGGCACCCCTAGAGATAGGCGCCCCTAGAGATAGGCGCCCATAGAGATAGGCGCCCATAGAGATAGGCACCCCTAGAGATAGGCGCCCCTAGAGATAGGCGCCCATAGAGATAGGCGCCCAAAGAGATAGGCGCCCATAGAGGTAGGCGCCCGTAAAATAGGCGCCCATAGAGATAGGCGCCCATAGAGATAGGCGCCCCTAGAGATAGGCGCCCATACAGATATGCGCCCCTAGAGATAGGCGCCCCTAGAGATAGGCGCCCAAAGAGATAGGCGCCCATAGAGATAGGCGCCCCTAGAGATAGGCGCCCCTGGAGATAGCCGCCCCTAGAGAAAGGCACCCCTAGAGATAGGCGCAACTAGAGATAGGCGCCCCTAAAGATAGGCGGCCCTAGAGATAGGCGCACATAGAGATAGGCGCCCCTAGTGATAGGCGCCCCTAGGGATAGGCGCACATAGAGATAGGCGCCCCTAGTGATAGGCGCCCCTAGGGATAGGCGCCGCTAAAGATAGGCGCCCTAGAGATAGGCGCCCCAAGAGATAGGCGCCCATAGAGATTGGCACCCATAGAGATAGGCGCCCAAAGAGATAGTCGCCTATCGAGATAGGCGCCCCTACAGATAGGCGCCCATAGAGATATGCGCCCCTAGAGATAGCCGCCCCTAGAGATAGGCACCCCTAGAGATAGGCGCCCCTAGAGATAGGCGCCCCTCGTGATAGACGCCCCTAGAGATACGTGCCCCTAGAGATTGGCGCCCTTAGAGATAGGCGCCCCTAGAGATAGGCGCCCATAGAGATAGGCCGCCGCTAGAGATAGGCGCCCCTAGAGATAGGCGCCCATAGAGATAGGCGCCCAAAGAGATAGCCGCCCATAGAGATAGGGGCCCCTAGAGATAGGCGCCCATAGAGATAGGTGCGCATAGAGATAGCCGCCCCTAGAGATAGGCACCCCTAGAGATAGGCGCCCTTAGAGATAGGCGCCCCTGGAGATAGGCGCCCCTAGAGATAGGTGCCCCTAGAGGTTGGCGCCCCTAGAGATGGGCGACCATAGAGATAGGCGCCTCTAGAGATTGGCGGCCCAAAAGAGAGGCGCCCATAGAGATAGGCGCCCATAGAGATAGGCGCCCATAGAGATAGGTGCCCCTAGAGATTGGCGCCCATAGAGATATGCACCCCTAGAGATAGGCGCTCCTAGAGATAGGCGCCCCTAGAGATAGGCGCCACTAGAGATAGGCGCCCCTAGAGATAGGCGCCCACGGAGATAGGCACCCCTAGAGATAGGCGCCCATAGAGATAGGCGCCCATAGAGATAGGCGCCCATAGAGATAGGCGCCCATAGAGATAGGCGCTCATAGAGATAGGCGCCCATAGAGATAGGCGCCTATAGAGATAGGCGCCCATAGAGATAGGCGCCCATAGAGATAGGCGCCCATAGAGATAGGCGCCACTAGAGATAGGCGCCCCTAGAGATAGGCGCCCATAGAGATAGGCGCCCATAGAGATAGGCGCCCCTAGAGATAGGCGCCCATAGAGATAGGCGCCCATAGAGATAGGCACCCATAGAGATAGGTGCCCCTAGAGATTGGCGCCCATAGAGATATGCGCCCCTAGAGATAGGCGCTCCTAGAGATAGGCGCCCCTAGAGATAGGCGCCCCTAGAGATAGGCGCCCATAGAGATAGGCGCCCCTAGAGATAGGCGCCACTACAGATAGGCGCCCCTAGAGATAGGCGCCCATAGAGATAGGCACCCCTAGAGATAGGCGCCCATAGAGATAGGCGCCCATAGAGATAGGCGCCCATAGAGATAGGCACCCCTAGAGATAGGAGCCCCTTGAGATAGACGCCCATAGAGATAGCCGCCCCTAGAGATAGGCGCCCATAGAGATAGGCGCCCATAGAGATAGGTGCCCTTAGAGATTGGCGCCCATAGAGATATGCGCCCCTAGAGATAGGCGCTCTTAGAGATAGGCGCCCCTGGAGATAGGCGCCACTAGAGATAGGCGCCCCTAGAGATAGGCGCCCACGGAGATAGGCACCCCTAGAGATAGGCGCCCATAGAGATAGGCGCCCATAGAGATAGGCGCCCATAGAGATAGGCGCCCATAGAGATAGGCGCCCATAGAGATAGGCACCCCTAGAGATAGGCGCCCCTTGAGATAGACGCCCATAGAGATAGCCGCCCCTAGAGATAGGCGCCCATAGAGATAGGCGCCCATAGAGATAGGTGCCCTTAGAGATTGGCGCCCATAGAGATATGCGCCCCTAGAGATAGGCGCTCCTAGAGATAGGCGCCCCTAGAGAAAGGCGCCACCAGAGATAGGCGCCCCTAGAGATAGGCGCCCACGGAGATAGGCACCCCTAGAGATAGGCGCCCATAGAGATAGGCGACCATAGAGATAGGCGCCCATAGAGATAGGCGCCCAAAGAGATAGGCGCTCATAGAGATAGGCGCCCATAGAGATAGGCGCCCATAGAGATAGGCGCCCATAGAGTTAGGCGCCCATAGAGATAGGCGCCCATAGAGATAGGCGCCCCTAGAGATAGGCGCCCCTAGAGATAGGCGCCCAAAGAGATAGGCGCCCATAGAGATAGGCGCCCCTAGAGATAGGCGCCCCTGGAGATAGCCGCCCCTAGAGAAAGGCACCCCTAGAGATAGGCGCAACTAGAGATAGGCGCCCCTAAAGATAGGCGGCCCTAGAGATAGGCGCACATAGAGATAGGCGCCCCTAGTGATAGGCGCCCCTAGGGATAGGCGCACATAGAGATAGGCGCCCCTAGTGATAGGCGCCCCTAGGGATAGGCGCCGCTAAAGATAGGCGCCCTAGAGATAGGCGCCCCAAGAGATAGGCGCCCATAGAGATTGGCACCCATAGAGATAGGCGCCCAAAGAGATAGTCGCCTATCGAGATAGGCGCCCCTACAGATAGGCGCCCATAGAGATATGCGCCCCTAGAGATAGCCGCCCCTAGAGATAGGCACCCCTAGAGATAGGCGCCCCTAGAGATAGGCGCCCCTCGTGATAGACGCCCCTAGAGATACGTGCCCCTAGAGATTGGCGCCCTTAGAGATAGGCGCCCCTAGAGATAGGCGCCCATAGAGATAGGCCGCCGCTAGAGATAGGCGCCCCTAGAGATAGGCGCCCATAGAGATAGGCGCCCAAAGAGATAGCCGCCCATAGAGATAGGGGCCCCTAGAGATAGGCGCCCATAGAGATAGGTGCCCATAGAGATAGCCGCCCCTAGAGATAGGCACCCCTAGAGATAGGCGCCCTTAGAGATAGGCGCCCCTGGAGATAGGCGCCCCTAGAGATAGGTGCCCCTAGAGGTTGGCGCCCCTAGAGATGGGCGACCATAGAGATAGGCGCCTCTAGAGATTGGCGCCCCAAAAGAGAGGCGCCCATAGAGATAGGCGCCCATAGAGATAGGCACCCCTAGAGATAGGCGCCCTTTGAGATAGACGCCCATAGAGATAGCCGCCCCTAGAGATAGGCGCCCATAGAGATAGGCGCCCATAGAGATAGGTGCCCCTAGAGATTGGCGCCCATAGAGATATGCACCCCTAGAGATAGGCGCTCCTAGAGATAGGCGCCCCTAGAGATAGGCGCCACTAGAGATAGGCGCCCCTAGAGATAGGCGCCCACGGAGATAGGCACCCCTAGAGATAGGCGCCCATAGAGATAGGCGCCCATAGAGATAGGCGCCCATGGAGATAGGCGCCCATAGAGATAGGCGCTCATAGAGATAGGCGCCCATAGAGATAGGCGCCTATAGAGATAGGCGCCCATAGAGATAGGCGCCCATAGAGATAGGCGCCCATAGAGATAGGCGCCACTAGAGATAGGCGCCCCTAGAGATAGGCGCCCATAGAGATAGGCGCCCATAGAGATAGGCGCCCCTAGAGATAGGCGCCCATAGAGATAGGCGCCCATAGAGATAGGCACCCATAGAGATAGGTGCCCCTAGAGATTGGCGCCCATAGAGATATGCGCCCCTAGAGATAGGCGCTCCTAGAGATAGGCGCCCCTAGAGATAGGCGCCCCTAGAGATAGGCGCCCATAGAGATAGGCGCCCCTAGAGATAGGCGCCACTACAGATAGGCGCCCCTAGAGATAGGCGCCCATAGAGATAGGCACCCCTAGAGATAGGCGCCCATAGAGATAGGCGCCCATAGAGATAGGCGCCCATAGAGATAGGCACCCCTAGAGATAGGAGCCCCTTGAGATAGACGCCCATAGAGATAGCCGCCCCTAGAGATAGGCGCCCATAGAGATAGGCGCCCATAGAGATAGGTGCCCTTAGAGATTGGCGCCCATAGAGATATGCGCCCCTAGAGATAGGCGCTCTTAGAGATAGGCGCCCCTGGAGATAGGCGCCACTAGAGATAGGCGCCCCTAGAGATAGGCGCCCACGGAGATAGGCACCCCTAGAGATAGGCGCCCATAGAGATAGGCGCCCATAGAGATAGGCGCCCATAGAGATAGGCGCCCATAGAGATAGGCGCCCATAGAGATAGGCACCCCTAGAGATAGGCGCCCCTTGAGATAGACGCCCATAGAGATAGCCGCCCCTAGAGATAGGCGCCCATAGAGATAGGCGCCCATAGAGATAGGTGCCCTTAGAGATTGGCGCCCATAGAGATATGCGCCCCTAGAGATAGGCGCTCCTAGAGATAGGCGCCCCTAGAGAAAGGCGCCACTAGAGATAGGCGCCCCTAGAGATAGGCGCCCACGGAGATAGGCACCCCTAGAGATAGGCGCCCATAGAGATAGGCGCCCATAGAGATAGGCGCCCATAGAGATAGGCGCCCAAAGAGATAGGCGCTCATAGAGATAGGCGCCCATAGAGATAGGCGCCCATAGAGATAGGCGCCCATAGAGTTAGGCGCCCATAGAGATAGGCGCCCATAGAGATAGGCGCCCCTAGAGATAGGCGCCCCTAGAGATAGGCGCCCATAGAGATAGGCGCCCATAGAGATAGGCGCCCCTAGAGATAGGCGACCATAGAGATAGGCGCCCATAGAGATAGGCACCCATAGAGATAGGTGCCCCTAGAGATTGGCGCCCATAGAGATATGCGCCCCTAGAGATAGGCGCCCCTAGAGATAGGCGCCCATAGAGATAGGCGCCCCTAGAGATAGGCGCCACTACAGATAGGCGCCCCTAGAGATAGGCGCCCATAGAGATAGGCACCCCTAGAGATAGGCGCCCATAGAGATAGGCGCCCATAGAGATAGGGGCCCATAGAGATAGGCACCCCTAGAGATAGGCGCCCCTTGAGATAGACGCCCATAGAGATAGCCGCCCCTAGAGATAGGCGCCCATAGAGATAGGCGCCCATAGAGATAGGTACCCATAGAGATTGGCGCCCATAGAGATATGCGCCCCTAGAGATAGGCGCCCCTAGAGATAGGCGCCCCTAGAGATAGGCGCCCATAGAGATAGGCGCCCCTAGAGATAGGCGCCACTAGAGATAGGCGCCCCTAGAGATAGGAGCCCATAGAGATAGGCACCCCTAGAGATAGGCCCTCATAGAGATAGGCGCCCATAGAGATAGGCGCCCATAGAGATAGGCGCCCATAGAGATAGGTGCCCATAGAGATAGGCGCCCATAGAGATAGGCGCACATAGAGATAGGCGCCCATAGAGATAGGCGCCCATAGAGATAGGCGCCCATAGAGATAGGCGCCCATAGAGATAGGCGCCCATAGAGATAGGCGCCCATAGAGATAGGCGCCTATAGAGATAGGCGCCCATAGAGATAGGCGCCCATAGAGATAGGCGCCCATAGAGGTAGGCGCCCATAGAGATAGGGGCCCATAGAGAAAGGCGCCCATAGAGATAGGCGCCCATAGAGATATGCGCCCTTAAAGATAGGCGCTCCTAGAGATAGGCGCCCCTATAGATAGGCGCCTCTAGAGATAGGCGCCCATAGAGATAGACGCCCCTAGAGATAGGCGCCCATAGAGATAGGCGCCCCTAGAGATAGGTGCCACTAGAGATAGGCGCCCCTAGAGATAGGCGCCCATAGAAATAGGCGCCCATAGAGATAGGCGCCCATAGAGATAGGCGCCCATAGAGATAGGCGCCCATAGAGTTAGGCGCCCATAGAGATAGGCGCCCATAGAGATAGGCGCCCATAGAGATAGGCGCCCATAGAGATAGGCGCCCCTAGAGATAGGCGCCCCTAGAGATAGGCGCCCATAGAGATAGGCGCCCATAGAGATAGGCGCCCATAGAGATAGGTGCCCCTAGAGATTGGCGCCCATAGAGATAGGCGCCCCTAGAGATAGGCGCCCATAGAGATAGGTGCCCATAGAGATAGGCGCCCATAGAGATAGGCGCCCATAGAGAAAGGCGCCCATAGAGTTAGGCGCCCATAGAGATAGGCGCACATAGAGATAGGCGCCCATAGAGATAGGCGCCCATAGAGATAGGCGCCCCTAGAGATAGGCGCCCCTAGAGATAGGCGCCCATAGAGATAGGCGCCCATAGAGATAGGCGCCCATAGAGATAGGTGCCCCTAGAGATTGGCGCCCATAGAGATAGGCGCCCCTAGAGATAGGCGCCCATAGAGATAGGTGCCCATAGAGATAGGCGCCCATAGAGATAGGCGCCCATAGAGATAGGCGCCCATAGAGATAGGCGCCCATAGAGATAGGCGCCCCTAGAGATTGGCGCCCCTAGAGATAGGCGCCCATAGAGATAGGCGCCCATAGAGATAGGCGCCCATAGAGATAGGTGCCCCTAGAGATTGGCGCCCATAGAGATATGCGCCCCTAGAGATAGGCGCTCCTAGAGATAGGCAACCCTAGAGATAGGCGCCACTGGAGATAGGCGCCCCTAGAGATAGGCGCCCATAGAGATAGGCGCCCATAGAGATAGGCGCCCATAGAGATAGGCGCCCATAGAGATAGGCGCCCATAGAGATAGGCGCCCATAGAGATAGGCGCCCATAGAGATAGGCGCCCATAGAGATAGGCGCCCATAGAGATAGGCGCCCATAGAGATAGGCGCCCCTAGAGATAGGCGCCCCTAGAGATAGGCGCCCATAGAGATAAGCGCCCATAGAGATAGGCGCCCCTAAAGATAGGCGCCCATAGAGATAGGCGCCCATAGAGATAGGCGCCCATAGAGATAGGCGCCCATAGAGATAGGCGCCTATAGAGATAGGTGCCCCTACAGATTGGCGCCCATAGAGATATGCGCCCCTAGAGATAGGCGCTCCTAGAGATAGGCGCCCCTAGAGATAGGTGCCCCTAGAGATAGGCGCCCATAGAGATAGGCGCCCCTAGAGATAGGCGCCACAAGAGATAGGCGCCCCTAGAGATAGGCGTCCATAGAGATAGGAACCCCTAGAGATAGGCGCCCATAGAGATAGGCGCCCATAGGGATAGGCGCCCATAGAGATAGGCGCCCATAGAGATAGGCGCCCATATAGATAGGCTCCCATAGAGATAGGCGCCCATAGAGATAGGCGCCCCTAGAGATAGGCGCCCATAGAGATATGCGCCCCTAGAGATAGGCGCCCCTAGAGATAGGCGCCCCTAGAGATAGGCGCCCATAGAGATAGGCGCCCCTAGAGATAGGCGGGCGGGGTGATGGAAAGTTGGAGAATGGGGCGGAGTGATGGAAAGCGGGAGAATGGGGCAGGATGATGGAAAGTGGGAGAATGGGGCGGGGTGATGGAAAGCAGGCGAATGGGGCGGGGTGATGGAAAGCGGGAGAATGGGGCGGGGTGATGGAAAGAGGGAGAATGGGGCGGGGTGGTGGAAAGCGGGAGAATGGGGCGGGGTGATGGAAAGCGGGAGAATGGGGAGGGGTTATGGAAAGTGGGAGAATGGGGCGAGGTGATCGAAAGCGGGAGAATGGGGCGGGGTGATGGGAAGAGGGAGAATGGGGCGGGGTGATGGGAAGCGGGAGAATGGGGCAGGGTGAAGGAAAGAGGGAGAATGGGGCGGGGTGATAGAAAGCGGGAGAATGGGGCGGGGTGATGGAAAGCGGGAGAATGGAGCGGGGTGATGGAAAGTGGGAGAATGGGGTGGGGTGATGGAAAGCGGGAGAATGGGGCGGGGTGATGGAAAGCGGGAGAATGGGACGGGGTGATGGAAAGCGGGAGAATGGGGCGGAGTGATGGAAAGCGGGAGAATGGGGCGGGGTGATGAAAAGCGGGAGAATGGGGCGGGGTGATGGAAAGCGGGAGAATGGGGCGGGGTGATGGAAAGAGGGAGAATGGGGCGGGGTGATGGAATGCAGGAGAATGGGGTGGGGTGATGGAAAGAGGGAGAATGGGGCGGGGTGATGGAAAGCGGGAGAATGGGGCGGGGTGATGGAAAGCGGGAGAATGAGGCGGGGTGATGGGAAGAGGGCGAATGGGCCGGGGTGATGGGAAGCGGGGGAATGGGGCGGGGTGAAGGAAAGCGGGAGAATAGGGCGGGGTGATGGAAAGCGGGAGAATTGGGCGGGGTGATCGAAAGCGGGAGAATGGGGCGGGGTGATGGGAAGAGGGAGAATGGGGCGGGGTGATGGGAAGCGGTTGAATGGGGCGGGGTGAAGGAAAGAGGGAGAATGGGGCGGGGTGATAGAAAGCGGGAGAATGGGGCGAGGTGATGGAAAGCGGAAGAATGAAGCCGGGTGATAGAAAGCGGGAGAATGGAGCGGGTTGATGGAAAGCGGGAGAATGGGGCGGGGTGATGGAAAGCGGGAGAATAGGGCGGGGTGATGGAAAGAGGGAGAATAAGGCGGGGTGATGGAAAGAGGGAGAATGGGGCGGGGTGATGGAAAGCGAGAGAATGGGCCGGGATGATGGAAAGAGGGAGAATGGGGCGGGGTGATGGAAAGCGGGAGAATGGGGCGGGGTGATGGAAAGCGGGAGAATGGGGCAGGGTGATGGAAAGAGGTAGAATGGGGCGGGGTGATGGAAAGCAGGAGAATGGAGTGGGGTGATGGGGGAGAATGGGGCGCGGTGATGGAAAGCAGGAGAATGGGGCGGGGTGATGGAAAGCGGGAGAATGGGGCCTTGGGGGCTTGAAGGCTTGAAGGCTTGAGGGCTTGAAGGCTTGAGGGCTTGAGGGCTTGAGGGCTTGAGGGCTTGAGGGCTTGAGGGCTTGAAGGCTTGAAGGCTTGAAGGCTTGAGGGCTTGAGGGCTTGAAGGCTTGAAGGCTTGAAGGCTTGAAGGCTTGAGGGCTTGAGGGCTTGAGGGCTTGAGGGCTTGAGGGCTTGAGGACTTGAGGGCTTGAGGGCGTGAAGGCTTGAAGGCTTGAAGGCTTGAAGGCTTGAAGGCTTGAGGGCTTGAGGGCTTGAGGGCTTGAGGGCTTGAAGGCTTGAGGGCTTGAGGGCTTGAGGGCTTGAAGGCTTGAAGGCTTGAAGGCTTGAGGGCTTGAAGGCTTGAAGGCTTGAGGGCTTGAGGGCTTGAAGGCTTGAAGGCTTGAGGGCTTGAGGGCTTGAAGGCTTGAAGGCTTGAAGGCTTGAGGGCTTGAGGGCTTGAAGGCTTGAGTGCTTGATGGCTTGAAGGCTTGAGGGCTTGAAGGCTTGAGGGCTTCAGGGCGTGAGGGCTTCAGGGCTTGAGGGCGTGAGGGCTTGAGGGCTAGAGGGCTTGAGGGCTTGAGGGCTTGAAGGCTTGAGTTCTTGAAGGCTTGAGGGCTTGACGACACCAGGCCCACCAGGTCAAGGTCGAAAGCCTTTTCCCTGACCAGCAGAGGGAGGAGGGGGAAGGGGGGCAAGTACATGAGGAAAATGAGCCCGTGCCCCACACTGGCGATGACAGGGAAACTCACTGCGGATCGGAGGACACCAGGCACGTGATGACAGAGGTACTTTCATCTCACCATCTGATGACAGAGGTACTTTCATCTCACCATCTGATGAAAGAGGTACTTTCATCTCACCATCTGATGAAAGAGTTACTTTCATCTCACCATCTGATGAAAGAGGTATTTCATCTCACCATCTGATGAATAATAACTTTCATCTCACCATCTAATGAAAGAGTTACTTTCATCTCACCATTTGATGAAAGAGTTACTTTCATCTCACCATCTGATAAAAGAGTTACTTTCATCTCACCATCTGATGAAAGAGGTACTTTCATCTCACTATCTGATGAAAGAATTACTTTCATCTCACCATCTGATGAAAGAGGTACTTTCATCTCACCATCTGATGAAAGAGTTACTTTCATCTCACCATCTGATGAAAGAGGTACTTTCATCTCACCATCTGATGAAAGAGGTACTTTCATCTCACCATCTGATGAAAGAGTTACTTTCATCTCACCATCTGAAGAAAGAGTTGCTTTCATCTCACCATCTGATGAAAGAGTTACTTTCATCTCACCCTCTGAAGAAAGAGTTGCTTTCATCTCACCATCTGATGAAAGAGTTGCTTTCATCTCACCATCTGATGAAAGAGGTACTTTCATCTCACCATCTGATGAAAGAATTACTTTCATCTCACCATCTGATGAAAGAGGTACTTTCATCTCACCATCTGTTGAAAGAGTTGCTTTCATCTCACCATCTGATGAAAGAGTTACCTTGATCTCACCATCTGATGAAACAGGTACTTTCATCTCACCATCTGATGAAAGAGTTGCTTTCATCTCACCATCTGATGAAAGAGTTGCTTTCATCTCACCATCTGATGAAAGAGTTACTTTCATCTCACCATCTGATGAAAGAGTTGCTTTCATCTCACCATCTGATGAAAGAGGTATTTTCATCTCACCATCTTATGAAAGAGTTACTTTCATCTCACCATCTGATGAAAGAGGTACTTTCATCTCACCATTTGATGAAAGAGTTACTTTCATCTCAGCATCTCATGAAAGAGGTACTTTCATCTCAGCATCTGATGAAAGAGGTACTTTCATCTCACCATCTGATGAAAGAGTTACTTTCATCTCACCATCTGATGAAAAAGTTACTTTCATCTCACCATCTGATGAAAGAGTTACTTTCATCTCACCATCTGATGAATCATAACTTTCATCTCACCATCTGATGAAAGAGTTACTTTCATCTCACCATCTGATGAATAATAACTTTCATCTCACTATCTCACGAAAGAGTTACTTTCATCTCACCATCTGATGGAAGAGTTACTTTCATCTCACCACCTGTTCAAAGAGTTACTTTCATCTCACCATCTGACGAAGAATAACTTTCATCTCACCATCTGATGAAAGAGTTACTTTCATCTCACCAGCCACGTGATGAAAGAGTTACTTTGAGTCTGGAAATAACACGTGTATTACCAATCACCAGGTCTCAACCACCAGTCTCATCATCCCATCCCACAGTCGATGCAGTTGAGCAGAATCTCTCCCGCTTTCCATCACCCCGCCCCATTCCCCCGTTTTCCATCACCCCGCCCCATTCTCCCGCTTTCCATCACCCCGCCCTATTCTCCCGCTTTCCATCACCCGGCCCCATTCTCCCGCTTTCCATCACCCCATCCCATTCTCCCGCTTTCCATCACCCCGCCCCATTCTCTCGCTTTCCATCACCCCGCCCCATTCTCTCGCTTTCCATCACTCTGCCCCATTCTACCTCTTTCCATCACCTTGCCCCATTCTCCCTCTTTCCATCACCCCGCCTCATTCTCCCTCTTTCCATCACCCCGCCCCATTCTCCCTCTTTCCATCACCCCGCCCCATTCTCCCGCTTTCCATCACCCCGCCCCATTCTCCCGCTTTCCATCACCCCGCCCCATTCTCCCACTTTCCATCACCCCGCCCCATTCTCCCGCTTTCCATCACCCCGCCCCGTTCTCCCGGTTTCCATCACCCCGCCCCATTCTCCCGCATTCCATCACCCCGCCCCATTCTCCCTCTTTCCATCACCCCGCCCCATTCTCCCGCTTTCTATCACCCCGCCCCATTTTCCCGCTTTCCATCACCCCTTTCCATTCTCCCGCTTTCCATCACCCCGCCCCATTCTCCCGCTTTCCATCATCCCGCCCCATTCTCCCTCTTTCCATCACCCCGCCCCATTCTCCCGCCTTCCATCACCCCGCCCCATTCTTCCGCTTCCCATAACCCCTTTCCATTCTCCCGCTTTCCATCACCCGGCCCCATTCTCCCGCTTTCCATCACCCCATCCCATTCTCCCGCTTTCCATCACCCCGCCCCATTCTCTCGCTTTCCATCACCCCGCCCCATTCTCTCGCTTTCCATCACTCTGCCCCATTCTACCTCTTTCCATCACCTTGCCCCATTCTCCCTCTTTCCATCACCCCGCCTCATTCTCCCTCTTTCCATCACCCCGCCCCATTCTCCCTCTTTCCATCACCCCGCCCCATTCTCCCGCTTTCCATCACCCCGCCCCATTCTCCCACTTTCCATCACCCCGCCCCATTCTCCCGCTTTCCATCACCCCGCCCCATTCTCACGCTTTCCATCACCCCGCCCCATTCTCCTGGTTTCCATCACCCTGGCCCATTCTCCCGCATTCCATCACCCCGCCCCATTCTCCCTCTTTCCATCACCCCGCCCCATTCTCCCGCTTTCTATCACCCCGCCCCATTTTCCCGCTTTCCATCACCCCTTTCCATTCTCCCGCTTTCCATCACCCCGCCCCATTCTCCCGCTTTCCATCATCCCGCCCCATTCTCCCTCTTTCCATCACCCCGCCCCATTCTCCCGCTTTCCATCACCCCGCCCCATTCTCTCGCTTTCCATCACCCTGCCCCATTCTCCCGCTTTCCATCACCCCGCCCCATGTTCCCGTTTTCCATCACCCCGCCCCATTCTCCTGCTTTCCATCACCCCGCCCCATTCTCCGGCTTTCCACCACCCCGTCCCATTCTCCCGCTTTCCATCACCCCGCCCCATTCTCCCGCTTTCCATCACCCCACCCCATCCTCCCACCTTCTATCACCCCGCCCCATTTTCCCTCCTTCCATCACCCCGCCCCATTCTCCCGCTTTCCATCACCCCGCCCCATTCTCCCGCTTTCCATCACCCCGCCCCATTCCCCTGCTTCCCATCACCCCGCCCCATTCTCCCGCTTTCCATCACCCCGCCCCGTTCTCCCGCTTTCCATCACCCCGCCCAATTCTCCCGCTTTTCATCACCCCGCCCCATTCTCCCGCTTTCCATCACCCCGCCCCATTCTCCCTCTTTCCATCACTCCGCCCCATTCTCCCTCCTTCCATCACCCCGCCCCATTCTCCGCTTCCCATAACCCCAGCCCCATCTCCCGCTTTCCATCACCCCGCCACATTCTCCCACTTTCTATCACCCCGCCCCATTCTCCCTCCTTCCATCACCCCGCCCCATTCTCCCGCTTTCTATCACCCCGCCCCATTCTCCCTCCTTCCATCACCCCGCCCCATTCTCCCGCTTTCCATCACCCCGCCCCCTTCTTCCTCCTTCCATCACCCCGCCCCATTCTCCCTCCTTCCTTCACCCCACCCCATCCTCCCACCTTCTATCACCCCGCCCCATTTTCCCTCCTTCTATCACCCTGCCCCATTCTCCCGCTTTCCATCACCCCGCCCCATTCTCCCGCTTTCCAACACCCCTCCCCATTCTCCCTCCTTCCATCACCCCGCCCCATTCTCCGCTTCCCATAACCCCAGCCCCATCTCCCGCTTTCCATCACCCCGCCACATTCTCCCACTTTCCATCACCCCGCCCCATTCTCCCTCCTTCCATCACCCCGCCCCATTCTCCCGCTTTCTATCACCCCGCCCCATTCTCCCTCCTTCCATCACCCCGCCCCATTCTCCCGCTTTCCATCACCCCGCCCCCTTCTTCCTCCTTCCATCACCCCGCCCCATTCTCCCTCCTTCCTTCACCCCACCCCATCCTCCCACCTTCTATCACCCCGCCCCATTTTCCCTCCTTCCATCACCCCGCCCCATTCTCCCGCTTTTCATCACCCCGCCCCATTCTCCCGCTTTCCAACACCCCTCCCCATTCTCCCTCTTTCCATCACCCCGCCCCCTTCTCCCGCTTTCCACCACCCCGCCACATTCTCCCTCTTCCCATCACCCCACCCCATTCTCCCGCTTTCCATCACCCCGCCCCATTCTCCTGCTTTTCATCACCCTGCCGCATTCTCCCACCTTCCATCATCCTGCCCCATTCTCCCGCTTTCCATCACCCCGCCCCATTCTCCAACTTTCCATCACCCCGCCCCATTCTCCCGCTTTTCATCACCCCGCCCCATTCTCCCGCTTTCCATCACCCCGCCCCATTCTCCCGCCTTCCATCACCCCGCCACATTCTCCCGCTTTCCATCACCCTTGTTCTTGCGATTTTGCACACGCTAGGCCCTTGTTCTTGCAATTTTGCACGCGCTAGGCCTTTGTTCTTGCAATTTTGCACACGCAAGGCCCTTGTTCTTGCAGTTTTGCACATGCTAGGCCCTTGTTCTTGCAATTTTGCACACGCCTGGCCCTTGTTCTTGCAATTTTGCACATGCTAGGCACTTGTTTTTGCAATTTTGCACACGCTAGGCCCTTGTTCTTGCAATTTTGCCTTCGCTAGGCCCTTGTTCTTGCAATTTTGCACACGTTAGGCCCTTGTTCTTGCGATTTTGCACACGCTAGGCCCTTGTTCTTGCAATTTTGCACGTGCTAGGCCTTTGTTCTTGCAATTTTGCACACGCTGGGCCCTTGTTCTTGCAGTTTTGCACATGCTAGGCCCTTGTTCTTGCAATTTTGCACACGCCTGGCCCTTGTTCTTGCAATTTTGCACATGGTAGGCCCTTGTTTTTGCAATTTTGCACACGCTAGGCCCTTGTTCTTGCAATTTTGCACACGCTAGGCCCTTGTTCTTGCGGTTTGGCACACGCTAGGCCCTTGTTCTTGCAATTTTGCACGCGCTAGGCCTTTGTTCTTGCAATTTTGCACACGCTAGGCCCTTGTTCTTGCAGTTTTGCACATGCTAGGCCCTTGTTCTTGCAATTTTGCACACGCTAGGCCCTTCTTCTTGCGATTTTGCACACGCTAGGCCCTTGTTCTTGCAATTTTGCACGCGCTAGGCCTTTATTCTTGCAATTTTGCACACGCTAGGCCCTTGTTCTTGCAATTTTGCACTCGCTAGGTGGCCCTTGTTCTTGCAATTTTGCACACGCTAGGCCCTTGTTCTTGCAATTTTGCACACGCTAGGCGCTTGTTCTTGCAATTTTGCACACGCTAGACCCTTGTTCTTGCAATTTTGCACACGCTAGGCCCTTCTTCTTGCTAATTTGCACACGCTAGGCCCTTGTTCTTGCAATTTTGCACACGCTTGGCCCTTGTTGTTGCAAGTTTACACTCGCTAGGCCCTTGTTCTTGCAATTTTGCACACGCTAGGCCCTTGTTCTTGCAAGTTTACACTCCCTAGGCCCTTGTTCTTGCAATTTTGCACACGCTAGGCCCTTGTTCTTGCAATTTTGCACACGCTAGGCCCTTGTTCTTGTAATTTTGCACACGCTAGGCCCTTGTTCTTGCAATTTTGCACATGCTAGGTCCTTGTTCTTGCAATTTTGCACGCGCTAGGCCTTAGTTCTTGCAATTTTGCACACGCAAGGCCCTAGTTTTTGCAGTTTTGCACATGCTAGGCCCTTGTTCTTGCAATTTTGCACACGCTTGGCCCTTGTTCTAGCAATTTTGCACACGCTAGGCGCTTGTTCTTGCACTTTTGCACACGCTAGGCCCTTGTTCTTGCAATTTTGCACTTGCTAGGCCCTTGTTCTTGCAATTTTGCACACGCTAGGCGCTTGTTCTTGCAATTTTGCACATGCTAGGCCCTTGTTCTTGCAATTTCGCACTCGCTAGGTTCTTGTTCTTGCAATTTTGCACACGCTAGGCCCTTGTTCTTGCAATTTTGCACACGCTAGACCCTTCTTTTTGCGATTTTGCACACGCTAGGCCCTTGTTCTTGCTATTTTACACTCGCTAGGCCCTTGTTCTTGCAATTTTGCACACGCTAGGCCCTTGTTCTTGCAATTTTGCATACGCTAGGCCCTTGTTCTTGCAATTTTGCACACGCTACGCCCTTGTTCTTGCAATTGTGCACACGCTATGCCTTTGTTCTTGCAATTTTGCACATGCTAGGCCCTTGTTCTTGCAATTTTGCACTCGCTAGACCCTTGTTCTTGCAATTTTGCACACGCTAGGCCCTTGTTCTTGCAATTTTGCACACGCTAGGCCCTTGTTCTTGCAGTTTTGCACATGCTAGGCCCTTGTTCTTGCAATTTTGCACACGCTAGGCCCTTGTTCTTGCAGTTTTGCACATGCTAGGGGGCCCTTGTTCTTGCAATTTTGCACACGCTAGGCACTTGTTCTTGCAATTTTGCACACGCTAGACCCTTGTTCTTGCAATTTTGCACACGCTAGGCCCTTGTTCTTGCAGTTTTGCACATGCTAGGCCCTTGTTCTTGCAATTTTGCACACGCTTGGCCCTTGTTCTAGCAATTTTGCACACGCTAGGCGCTTGTTCTTGCACTTTTGCACACGCTAGGCCCTTGTTCTTGCAATTTTGCACTTGCTAGGCCCTTGTTCTTGCAATTTTGCACACGCTAGGTGCTTGTTCTTGCAATTTTGCACATGCTAGGCCCTTGTTCTTGCAATTTTGCACTCGCTAGGTTCTTGTTCTTGCAATTTTGCACACGCTAGGCCCTTGTTCTTGCAATTTTGCACACGCTAGGCCCTTCTTTTTGCAATTTTGCACACGCTAGGCCCTTGTTCTTGCAATTTTGCATACGCTAGGCCCTTGTTCTTGCAATTTTGCACACGCTACGCCCTTGTTCTTGCAATTGTGCACACGCTATGCCTTTGTTCTTGCAATTTTGCACATGCTAGGCCCTTGTTCTTGCAATTTTGCACTCGCTAGACCCTTGTTCTTGCAATTTTGCACACGCTAGGCCCTTGTTCTTGCAATTTTGCACACGCTAGGCCCTTGTTCTTGCAATTTTGCACATGCTAGGCCCTTGTTCTTGCAATTTTGCACACGCTAGGCCCTTGTTCTTGCAGTTTTGCACATGCTAGGGGGCCCTTGTTCTTGCAATTTTGCACACGCTAGGCCCTTGTTCTTGCAATTTTGCACACGCTAGACCCTTGTTCTTGCAATTTTGCACACGCTAGGCCCTTGTTCTTGCAGTTTTGCACATGCTAGGCCCTTGTTCTTGCAATTTTGCACACGCTTGGCCCTTGTTCTAGCAATTTTGCACATGCTAGGCGCTTGTTCTTGCACTTTTGCACACGCTAGGCCCTTGTTCTTGCAATTTTGCACTTGCTAGGCCCTTGTTCTTGCAATTTTGCACACGCTAGGCGCTTGTTCTTGCAATTTTGCACATGCTAGGCCCTTGTTCTTGCAATTTTGCACTCGCTAGGTTCTTGTTCTTGCAATTTTGCACACGCTAGGCCCTTGTTCTTGCAATTTTGCACACGCTAGGCCCTTCTTTTTGCAATTTTGCACACGCTAGGCCCTTGTTCTTGCTATTTTGCACACGCTAGGCCCTTGTTCTTGCGATTTTGCACACGCTAGGCCCTTGTTCTTGCAATTTTACACACGCTAGGCCCTTGTTCTTGCGGTTTGGCACACGCTAGGCCCTTGTTCTTGCAATTTTGCACGCGCTAGGCCTTTGTTCTTGCAATTTTGCACACGCTAGGCCCTTGTTCTTGCAGTTTTGCACATGCTAGGCCCTTGTTCTTGCAATTTTGCACACGCTAGGCCCTTCTTCTTGCGATTTTGCACACGCTAGGCCCTTGTTCTTGCAATTTTGCACGCGCTAGGCCTTTATTCTTGCAATTTTGCACACGCTAGGCCCTTGTTCTTGCAATTTTGCACTCGCTAGGTGGCCCTTGTTCTTGCAATTTTGCACACGCTAGGCCCTTGTTCTTGCAATTTTGCACACGCTAGGCGCTTGTTCTTGCAATTTTGCACACGCTAGACCCTTGTTCTTGCAATTTTGCACACGCTAGGCCCTTCTTCTTGCTAATTTGCACACGCTAGGCCCTTGTTCTTGCAATTTTGCACACGCTTGGCCCTTGTTGTTGCAAGTTTACACTCGCTAGGCCCTTGTTCTTGCAATTTTGCACACGCTAGGCCCTTGTTCTTGCAAGTTTACACTCCCTAGGCCCTTGTTCTTGCAATTTTGCACACGCTAGGCCCTTGTTCTTGCAATTTTGCACACGCTAGGCCCTTGTTCTTGTAATTTTGCACACGCTAGGCCCTTGTTCTTGCAATTTTGCACATGCTAGGTCCTTGTTCTTGCAATTTTGCACGCGCTAGGCCTTAGTTCTTGCAATTTTGCACACGCAAGGCCCTAGTTTTTGCAGTTTTGCACATGCTAGGCCCTTGTTCTTGCAATTTTGCACACGCTTGGCCCTTGTTCTAGCAATTTTGCACACGCTAGGCGCTTGTTCTTGCACTTTTGCACACGCTAGGCCCTTGTTCTTGCAATTTTGCACTTGCTAGGCCCTTGTTCTTGCAATTTTGCACACGCTAGGCGCTTGTTCTTGCAATTTTGCACATGCTAGGCCCTTGTTCTTGCAATTTCGCACTCGCTAGGTTCTTGTTCTTGCAATTTTGCACACGCTAGGCCCTTGTTCTTGCAATTTTGCACACGCTAGACCCTTCT